GGGGGTAGGCGCTCGCCGCGGGCCGGGTCTGGAACCGGACTCTGCCCGGGCGCCGCTGGACCACAGCTCCTGAGCCACGAGCCTCCCTCACGAGCCAGGCCGTATACTGTCTCCCTCGAGGAGAGCCCCCACCCCGGCCCCAACCGGGCGCCCGCCTCCCCCTCCGCACTCACCATCCGGGGCCCCGGCCGCCGCCATGATGATTGTGTACAACACCCACCGCTCCCGCAGAGGCCGCTGGGAAGAGGCGAGCGGACTGAGATTGGCCCCCACAGCAGCCCCTAATCTCGCACAGCCTGGCCGGAAACAGGTGGAGGTTTCTATGGAGACCCGCCTCCTCCGCTTCCCCAGCCCGGCCCCTGCCACGCTTTAGCTTTCCCGAGCCGAGGGGGGCGGGTCTGGGGAATCGCCCGCTCGATGGGCTCTGCCCCCTAGTGGCCGATGGAGCCGCAGCCGTCCAAGAGGGCGTGGGCTTTTGAACTAGGAGGCCTGGGACTTTAAGGGGCGGGGTCTGGCAGGCTATGGCGGAGGCGGATTGGCTGGAAGGAATCCCCGGAAGTGGCGCACAGGGGAAGCACACGTGTGCGAGTCCACTCCATATGGCGGCGCTCCTGAAGAGGCTGCTGCGGAGCGGGAGGTCCTCGGCTGCCTTGGGTCGCCCCGTGGGACGGCGCGAGGCCAGCCTGGGCACTGGTCAGGGGGCTGCGGTGCGAGTGAGGTTCGCCCCCAGTCCCACAGGTAACCTTGGCAGACTTGACGGTGCAGGCCGCGGCCTACCGTCCTGTCTCCACCCCCCAGGTGTTCCCGAACGAATCCCTTCTACCTGTCAGACTGGGCAGGCGGGCAGACGACCCGACCCCATTTTATTACAGAGGCAGAAACTGAGGCCCACGAACGAAACTAATTCGAATTGCCAGGAATTGATTTGCGTCTTTTGTAGCGTACCATCTCTTTTTATCTCTTTTTCGTGCATTCAGTTATAGGCGCTGGGATACAGTGATCATTGAGAAAGTTAAGGCCCTGCTCTCAAAAAGTCTACATTACAATGACCGCTTCAAACACCTATAAAAATAAATGTAATCTTAGAGCTCCATGTGCTATGTGGGAAATGAAGCAGGGTGGGAGAGGGTTTAGGAAGTTTGCTCAAGAAGGCCTTGCTGAGCAAATAACAGCTCTACCTTTTGGGCAGAGGCAATTGCAGGTACAAAGGCCCAGTGGTTAGTGTTGGGAGCTTAGCCAGCCGGAGGGAGGTAAAGGCCCATTGTATAGCTTACTGGAGGTCTTGTCAAGGCCTCCCGAGCAGTTCCCAACATTCTTTTCTCACCAAGTCTACCTTCTTCCCTCTCCACAGTGAGCATGCCTCTCATTCCAAACCCCAGGCTCAGCATGTAAGAATCTTTGTGGCAGACAACCCCCTGGGGTCCCCTCCCACTGTGGGAACTTTTTTGTCTTCTCAATAAATCTTGTTTTCGCAACTTAAAAAAGAAAAAGAATCTTTGTGGCAAGATCCCAGCTACATATGACAGAATCTTTCTGGTCAGACAGTGTAGCATAGAGCAGTGCTTTTCAGACCATTCATGGTGAAAGCACTGTTTTTATTTATTTTATTTTTAATTTTTTTTATTTGGAGTCTAACTCCGTCGCCCAGGCTGGAGTGTGGTGACATGCTCATGGCCATTCCAGCGTTGTCCTGCTGGACTCCGGCCATCCTTCCACTTCAGCCTTCCAAGTGTCTGGAACTACAGGCGTGCACTGCCACGCCTGGCTAATTTTTTATTTATTGCCCAGGTTGGTCTGGAACCCGCCGGCTCTGGCAGTCCTCTCACCTCAGCCTCCCAAAGTGCTGGGGTTACAGGCTGAGCCACTGTGCCTGGTTTCTATTTTTTTTTAGAGACGAGGGCTCACCAATTGCCCAGACTGCTCTCGAACCCCTCAGGCGATCCTTTTGCCTCGACTTCCCAGAGTGCCAGGATTACAGGCTTGAGCCACAGTGCCTGGCCTTGGGTTTTAATTTCTAATCAATTGTTGATCAATATGTGTGTAGATTTAATATACATTACCAGAAAAATAAAAAAGTTGAAAACATACAAAATACAAACCCTTTTTAAAATTATACTTACCAGACGTTAAATCACTGTGTCAATTTGCTGTAGGTTTCTAAATCTTTACTTTCAGTTGCTGTGCTTACTTGGTTATGAACTGGCAACACTTTTCAGACCGGTACTGGACTGTGCACCTTGCTCTGAACAGCACTTATGTAGATAGAATGCCTAGGCCTAGGATTGTCTGGATCCAAATTTCTGTCTTTGCCACTACATAGATGTGTAACATGGACAAATTACTTAGTGTCTCTAAGCCTCAGTTTTACAATCTGTCAAGCAGGGCTAATAACAATACTTGTCTGAGGGGTTTGTACTAATGCATCTGAGCCACTGAGCAAGGTTATACATGGAAAGCACTTAAAAATTAACAATCTTGGTTGGACTCAGTGGCTCACACCTGTAATCCCAGCGCCTTGAGAGACTGAAACAGGAGGATTGCTTGAACCCAGCAGTTCAAGACCAACCTGGGCAACATGGTGAGACCTGTTGCTACAGAAAATTTTTTAAAAATAGCCAAGCTGTAGTCTCAGTTAGGAAGCTGAGGAGGGAGGATTGCTTGAGCCTGGCAGTTGGAGGCTGCAGTGAGCTATGATCATACCACTGCACTTTAGCCTGGGCAACAGAGTGAGACCCTGACTCAAAAAAAAAAAAAAATTAACAGCTTCTATTATGATGACTGCAGTTCTCATTTTCTTGTTGATTTGCAGAAAAAGCTCATATGGAATAGGCTGTTGACTATTAATAGATAAAAGAATGATCAAGCACATAGTTCATCATAGCTAAACTTAACTCCAAACCCCAGGCTCAGCATATAAGAATCCTTATGAGGTGAGTGGATTGCCTGAGCCCGCGGGTTCGAGACCCGCCTGGGCAACTTGGTGAGACCTCATCTCTACAATAAAATCAAAAAAATTAGCCGGGCGTGGTAGCGCACACCTGTAGTTCCAGCTAGTTGGAAGGCTGAGGCGGAAGGCTCTCTGGAGCCCAGCAGGTTGAGGCTGCGGTGGCCGGGAGCGGCCACTGCACTCCAGTCTGGGCGATGGAGTGAGACTCCAACTCAAAAAAAAAGAATCTTTATGGCAAGATCCCAGCTGCATATGACAGAATCTAGTGTATATGTACCACATTTTCATTATCCACTGTTAATAGTATTTTTTTTAAATTTGAGTTGGAGTCTCACTCCTGCCACCTAGGCTGGAGTGCAGTGGCACACTCACTCATGGCCACCACAGCCTCAACCTGTTGGGCTTAGGTGGTCTTTCCACCTCAGCCTTCCAAGTAGCTGGAACTACAGACGCGCACTACCACGCCTGGGTAATTTTTGTGATTTATTGTAGAGATGAGGTCTCACCAAGTTGCCCAGGCTGGTCTGGAACCCCCAGGCTCAGGCAATCCTCTTGCCTCGGCCTCTCAAAGTACTGGCATTACAGGCTGAGCCACCGTGCCCAATCGTTAATAGTATTTTAAATTTGTAATTCTCAGCCGGGCTCGGTGGCTCAGCCTGTAATACCGCGCCTTTGGGAGGCTGAAGTGAGTGGATTGCCTGAACCCGCGGGTTCGAGATCTGCCTGGGCAGGCGAGACCTCATCTCTACAATAAATCAAAAAATCAGCCGGGCATGGTAACGCATGCCTGTAATTCTGGCTACTTGGAAGGCTGAGGCGGAAGGAACGCCGGAGCCCAGCAGGTCGAGAATGCGGTGGCCGGGAGCGGCCACTGCACTCTAGTCTGGGCGACAGAGTGAGACTCCAACTCAAAAAAAAAAAAAAAAAAAAATTTGTAATTCTCTTTTTGACCAGAAGACATCATTGAATTCACATAAGTTCAATGCATGTGTGATATGGCTTCAATGAATAATCCTCTGCTTCTCCTTCTTTGGGTGAAACTTGTTCTTGATACAGATATTAAAGTAGAGTGATGGGTGCAGTTGGGAAGAGTTGGAGCCTTTTTACAAAATGACATGCTCCAAATCCTGGGTGTTCTTCCACTTCCAGGATGAGGGATTAAATCAGTTGACTCCCCAGTCCTCTTCTGGCATTCTGGCTGCCTGCATGCTGGCTGGAGAGATAGGGCAGGGGTAACTATTTCTTGGTCTTGCCCCTTGGCAGAGGCCTGTTAGCTCATCTTCCCTGTCTTGTCTTAGCTGTTCTCTTCTCCTACCAGGCTTCTTGCACCTTGGTGGCCTCCGCACTGCCCTGTACAATTACATCTTTGCCAAGAAGCACCAGGGGAGCTTCATCCTGAGGCTAGAGGACACAGATCAGACCCGCCTTGTGCCTGGGGCAGCAGAGAATATTGAAGACATGCTGGAGTGGGCAGGTGAGCTTGGCAGGAGAAGGACCCTTCTCCAGGGAAGAAACAGAAAGCAGGGAAAGGAGCCTGGGGGTCTTCTTACAGGGCCCAGGGTAGAGAATAAGGAGTTCCTGGAGAAATGGGTGCATTTGTACTTCCTGGGGTGCCACCTGAAGAGATGCCGAGGCTCCCTGAAGCAAAGCTCCAAGGCTTTCTTGAGATCCCAGTTCTTATCTCAGAACCTCAAGTCCAGTCTCCACAGGGTGAGGCAGAAAACACAGGCCAAGTGGGAACATGGTGGGCCTGTGCTGATGTGGTCCTGTGCTGAGCCAGAGAAAGCATGCCTCACCTGAGGAAGCAACACCTCTGGGCTCCAGCTCCTGTTCCAGTGCGGGAATGTGCCTAGCATGGCCAATCTTCTGAGTTCCAAGAGAAGCCAAAAGTTCAGTTTTTTTTTCTTTTGATGAATACTTACCATTGTTAAATCTGGGCTCAGATCTTTATTTAACCACATAGTGTAAGCCAAACAAAACTTGAAGCTTCTGACGTTGATCTTCCTGTGGGATGTTTAATCCTGAGGACAGCTCAAACTGGAGAGAACAAGGAGGAGTTTGTGTTTCCTGGGTCAACAGTGGCCTACCTGGGACAGGTATGACTAGTAAAGGTTAAGATCCTCAAGGAAAAATATAGACTATTTTGAGATATGTATTCTAATCTCAGGTAAATTGTTCACTAGGCTCTGGATTCCTAAAAGGCAGGAAATTGATTTCATTTCTATTTTTGATTGTAGGAGATTTTAGCAGATTCTCAGTCAGCATTCATTGAATAAAGGATTTATTCAACAAGTTCACTTAATGTGATTCAGGCACTGCTCTAGGTGCCAGGGACATTGAGCAAAGACTCTGCGCTCAGTGAGAAGCGGAAGACAGATAAACAGTCTAATTCACTCTTAATATCATATAAAGCGATAAGTACCATGGAGATAAGGGTAACAGGGACCCGGGGTGAGAGTTGCCCTCTTAAAGAGGGTGGGCTCCTCAGAGGAGGTGATGTTGGAACAATGACTCATGAAGTAAGGAGCCAGCCCCTAGGGGAAGGATGTTCAGAGACAAGGGACTAGCAAATGCAAAGGCCCTGGGAAGGAGAGTACTGGGCATATTTGAGGAGCAGCAAGGAGACCAGCATGGTCTAAGCACAATGAACAAAGCAGAATGACCAGGGATATGAGGATGGGGGCTTTCCAGGAGCCAAATCACAGTGTGCCACACAGGTCATGGTGAGAACTGCAGTTTCATGGAGTACCTGCCACATGTGAGGGACTGTGCCAGGCACCCAGGGTAAGTGATAAGCAACGCTGACAGGTCCTGCCCTTGTCGACTCCCCACACCCCGAGGCAGCCCGGTGTGTGAATGAGGTCTGCAGCCCCACAAAGGAGCTTGTCCCACCCTAGCATTTTGATGAGGCAGAGGGCTGGTATCCAGACACCCCAGGGTGACTGACTTTTGTAACTCCTCACTTTGAGAGTCACCCCCACAGTCACTTCCCCCAGGCACTGGCAACCACTGATCTACTTTCCATCTCTCTGGACAACTCTTCTGCACATTTCATATAAGTGGGATCATACAGTAAGTGTCCTTTGTGACGGACTTCTGCTTAGCATAAAGCTCATCTGTGTGGTAGCATATGTCCGTCATTATATGACTATACCACATTTTGTGTATCCATCAACAATGGATGAGTATTTGGGTTATTATTATTATTTTTTGGCTATTATAAATAAAACTGCTGTGAACATTTACATGCCAGTTTTTTGTTTGTTTTTTGAGTTGAAGTCTCACTCTATTCCCAGGCTGGAGTGCAATGGCACACTCACAGCCACTGCAGCCTCGACCTGCTGGGTTCAGGTGATCCTTCCATCTCAGCCTTCCAAGTAGCTGGAACTACAGGCATGCGCCACCACGCCTGGCTAATTTTTTGATTTATTGTAGAAATGAGGTCTCACCAAGTTGCCCAGGCTGGTCTTGAACCCATGGGCTCAGGCAATCCTCTCACCTTGGCCTCCCAAAGTACTGGGATTATAGGCATAAGCCACTGTACCTGGCCACATACAAGTTTGTAAGTGAACATGTTTTCTGTTCTCCCAGAGGAGTCACTCTTAAACCCTGGGGCACACCAACAGGCTGACCATATTAAAGAGACTTGTTTAGGCTGGGCTCATGCCTATAATCCCACCACTTTGGGAAGCCAAGACAGGAGAAATGCCTGAGCCCAGGTGTTTCAGACCAGCCTGGGCAACATGGTGAGACCTCATCTCTACAATAAATAAAAAAATTATCGAGGCCTAGTTGTTTGTGCCTGTAGTCCCAGCTACTTGGAAGACTGAAACAGAATTATCACTTGAGCCCAGCAGGTTGAAACTACAGTAGCCGTGATCATGCCACTGCACTCCAGTGTAGGTGACAAAGTGAGACTCCTACTCAAAAATAAAGAGACTTGTTTAAGGCTAGATCAGGAAGAAGCCCCAAGTTTACCTGAGCCAACCCTGTTTTCTAACAAATGGGGAAACGGAGGCCCTGTGAGAGAGAGCTAATAACACTAACAATAGTAACAGCCCAAACATACTGAGTACTGAACTAAGCACTTTACCTAAGTCATCTCATTCCAGCCTCATGATGACCCTCATGTGTTTATATCTTTCTTTTACACGTGAGAAAGAAGAAACCCTGGAAGGTAACTTGCCCTAGGTCTTGGAGCTAACCGATGTATTTGAACCCAGGCCCACCCACCTCCAGAGTTAGCATTAGGTGTAACAGGAAGCATGTCCTTGCCTTCCTAATTCACTTGAAAGCTCTTTGAGGGCAGAAATACCATCCTCCAGTTCCTGTGTCTGCCCTGCCCGCTCCTGAAAGCATTTGTGGTCAAGCTATCTAAGGTGACCTGATGAAACTGGACTTGGTTTGGGGTTTGGCTTGTAGCAGATTGTGTGTAATCTATAGTGTATGTTGAAATAGTCTTACATGTAAAGCGCTGAGCACTGTGTAGGCACTGATGCATTTGTTCTCACATCTTGCACAGGAGGCCATTAGTGCTCCTTTTTAGAGGAGGAAACTGAGGCTTAGAAAGGCTAACTAACCCAAAAGGGCAATATGATAGATGGTGTAGAATGTGGATCCTGGGGCTCGCTAGTCTGGGATTGAATCTGATTGTGCCTCTTCTCCCTGGCCATGATGTAACAAAGCACCTCTGTGCCTCCATTTTCTCCTCAGAGAATGAGGGTGATAATGGCACTTATCTGGTAGGGTGGTTTTGTGGCCTCAGGGAGGTCACACATCATAAAAGCAGCCTGCAGGATGCTCAGCTCCTAGCACTCACACGTTGGCAGCGACTTGGCATGCCTTGTCACAGCTAGTATGTGGCAGAGCCAGGAACCCAAGCCAGGGTCTGACAGGCTGTGCCCTGAACCTAAGTCAGCTGTTCCCAGGCCATGGCTGGTTTTCTCCCTCACCAGGGAAAGGATGGATGGAGAGGACATAGAGTTGAGAGCGTGGACTGTGAAGTCTGTACATTTGCTACTTACTCCACCAGGACGTGATCTTGAACAAGTCACCTCTCTGCTTTCTCTTTTCATCTCTGAAAGGGACATTATAATAGTGCCAACTTCATAGATTATAGTGAAGATGAAAAACTGTAGTATATACATAAAATACCTAGAACAGAGCCTGGTATGAATGCTGTGGCGTCTTGGTTGTGATTATTTGATGAGGATTCTCTCCACCTGTGTTCTAGGCATCCCACCTGATGAGAGCCCCCGCCGGGGAGGTCCTGCTGGACCCTACCAGCAGTCTCAGCGACTGGAGCTATATGCCCAGGCCGCAGAAGCACTGTTGAAGGCTGGAGCTGCCTACCCTTGTTTCTGCTCATCTCAGCGGCTGGAACTTCTGAAGAAGGAGGCTCTGAGGAACCACCAGACGCCCCGGTGAGAAACCCAGCCTGTCACAGAAGCTTCTCCAAAGCTGACTACATAACATATTACCCCCAAACGTATATTACCTCTCAGTTTTTGTGGGTCATGTGTCTGGGTACAGCTTAGCCAGGTCCTCTGTTTTGGAGTTTCTCTCAAAGTTGCATTCAAAGTCTTGGCCAGGCCTGTAGTTATTTCAAGACTCAACTCTGGGAGATCGCTTCCATCTTCTTTCTCAAGATTATTGGCAGACCTCACATCCTTGCTGGCTATTGCCTGGAGACATCAGTTCCTTGGCATGCCTCCTCAGGGCAGCTCATAGGATAGCAGGTGAGCCAGGGAGGGAGTGAGCAAGTGGAAGCTGGAGTCCACCACATCATGGAAGTGATATCTCACCACTTCTGTGGTATAGGCTGAGTATCCTTATCCGAAATGGTTGGGACCAAAAGCATTTTGGATTTCAGATCATTTTGAAATCTGAAATATTTGCAAATGCATAATGAGATATCAGGGATAGACCTAAGTGTAAACACAAAATTCATTTATGTTTCATAGACACCTTATACACGTAGCCTGAAGGTGATTTTCTACAATATTATTGAATAATTTTGTACACAAATCAAAGTTTTGATTGTGTTTTGACTGTGATTCATCATATGAGATCAGGATGGAATTTTCTGTTTGTGTTGTCATGTTGGCACTCAAAAAGTTTTATTTTATTTTATTTGTTTATTTTTTTGAGTTGGAGTCTCACTCTGTCACCCAGACTGGAGTGCAGTGGCTGCTCCCGGCCACCACAGCCTCGACCTGCTGGGCTCCGGAGATCCTTCCGCCTCAGCCTTCCAAGTAGCTGGAACTACAGGCGTGTGCTACCACACCCGGCTAATTTTTGATTTATTGTATAGATGAGGTCTCACCAAGCTGCTCAGGTGGGTCTCGAATCACAAAGTTTTAGAGTTCTGACTGGTGTGGTGGCTCATGCCTATAATCCCAGCAATTTGGGAGGCCGAGGCAGGAGGATAGATCCCTTGAGCCTTGGAGTTTGAGACCAGCCTGGGCCACGTAGGGAGACCTCATCTCTGTAAAAAATTTAAAAATCATTTGGGTGTGGTGGCATATGCCTGTAGTCCTAGCCACTTGGGAGACGGAGGCTAAATAATTACTTGAGCCCAGGAGGTCAAGGTTGCAGTGAGGCAAGATCACAGCACTGTATTCCAGCCTAGGCGACGGCAAAACCCTGTCTCAAAAAAAAGAGAAAACAAAAAATACAAGTTTCGGATTAGATATGCTCAACCTGTATCCTATTTATTAGAAGGAAGTTATAGACATGTGCGGTGGTTTATGCCTGTAATCCCAGTACTGTGGGAGGAAGAGTCGAGAGGATTGCCTGAGTCCAGGGATTTGAGACTAGCCCGGGCAACTTGGCGAGACCTTGTCTATACAGCAAATCAAATAGTTAGCCGGGCATGGTGGCGTGTGCCTGTAGTTCCAGCTACTTGGAAGGCTGAGGCAGAAGGATCATCTGAGTTCAGCAGGTTGAGGCTGCGGTGGCCGGGAGCATGCCACTGCACTCCAGCCTGGGCAACAGAGTGAGACCCCAACTAAAAAAATAAATAAATAAATACATAAATAAAAAATAAGTGAATTTAAAATACATAAAATAGGAGTGGACATAGTGGCTCACACCTATAATCCCAGTACTTTGGGAGGTTGACGTGAGAGGATTACCTGAACTCACTTGTTTGAGACTAGCTGGGGCAACTCGGCGAGACCTCATCTCTACAAAAAAAAAAATTAGCTAGGTGTGGTGGCATATCCTTATAGTTCCAGCTTCTTGGAAGGCTGAACAGAAGGATATATATTGAAAAATCTTTTTCCCAGCCTTGACTCTGGCCACTCAGTTCCACTCTAGAGACAACTGGTGTTTAATCCTCTTCTGTTTCCTTCAGAAACATTCGATGTGTACACTGATCAGTGCACAAAATTTCCTCTTTTTTGCTATTCAAATGTTAGCATACAATATACTCTGCACACAGCGTATTGTACAGCTTACCATTTCCACTTCTGCTTCCTATTGGTCCATAACTTTTTGACACTTGCATAATATTCCATTGTATGGATATAAGAAACCTTTATGTCATTTTTAGTCTTTCTATAAAAAAGAGAGCTATGATGAATAATGTGGACATTTTGCACTTGTATGGTGTGTTTATTGGATACCTTCTAGAGGTGAAATTGCAAGGTCAACTGTAGATTTTTTTTAATTGGAGAGAAAGCATACAAATTTATTAACATGTACACAGGTTAATCACCCCTCAGTTTGGAGCTTTGACAAGTACTGCCGAATGACTGGTCCTTTACTAGTTTATACTCCCATCAGCAGTAGTGTCATAACATTTACATTCCAGTTCCAGTGAACTATTTGGACAAAGGCTCAGCAACTTGTACAAGATCATGACATTAACTGCAGCATTGCTTTTTTTTTTTATTATTTTAAACAGTCTACTTATTCATTGATAGAAGTTTATTTTTTAAGATTGTGGTCACCCTCTGTTGTGGAATCCATGTAGCCATTTGTTGATTGAACACTTAAGCTGTGTCAAAGACTAAACTTGCAAGCTTTACATATGTGTCTCAGGACACTTTTGGGTGCAAATAATAGAATACCCTGTTAAAAACCTTACTTTAATGTACAAGGAAATCTCCTGAGGATGTAGTTTTCATGAAGATTCTGATTCTGTACATCTAGTGTGGGCCTGTCAGTCTGCATTTGACACTCCCAGGTGAGGCTGATGCTGGGGATCTGTAGACCACACTTTGAGTAGTCAGGGCATCAGCCTCAGAGACATTTGTCTTCTCACTCTGCGGAAGCCTGGAGGTAGGTGACTCTAGGATGAATCAGCAGTTCAGAGATGCCAGGGCTCTATTTTGGCCTCTCTGACTTCCTGGCCTTCCCTTCCTCAGTTGCAAATAGCTACAGCAGCCCCGAGCATGCTCCATCACACAGCAATATCTGAAGAGGGCAGAAGTGGGGAGGTGAGAAATTTTATTTATTTTAATTTTATTTTTTTATTTTTATTTTTTTATTTTATTATTATTTTTTTTGAGTTGGAGTCTTACTCTGTCGCCCAGACTGGAGTGCAGTGGCTGCTCCCAGCCACCGCAGCCTCGACCTGCTGGGCTCTGGCGATCCTTCCGCCTCAGCCTTCCAAGTAGCTGGAATTACAGGCGTGCGCTACCACGCCTGGCTAATTTTTTATTTATTGTAGAGATGAGGTCTCGCCAAGTTGCCCAGGTGGGTCTTGAACCTGCGAGCTCAGGCAATCCACTTATCTTGGCCTCCCCAAGCGCGGGATTACAGGTTGAGCCACCGAGCCCGGCCTAGAGGTGGGAAATTTTAAAAAGGGATTTGTTTTCCTGTGACTCTCTTACCCTTATCTGGAAAGAAAAACCTTGCCTAGAACCTTGACCCTTCCTTGTACTTTCCTCTGAGTCTCAGAGACTAGGATGGGGTTACATTCCTACATGGACTGGTCACTAGCATAGGGCCATGGGATTACAAGATTGGCTATACCATTCATGGTTCAACCTCTTGGCCTTCCCGTCTTGCCATTTTCCATTAACAGGGAGAAAGGGGGAGTAGCTGGTAGATAGGAAAACCTTAGTGTCACACTGTGTTGTCTCACTTAGTTTTTCCACACAACTGTATTATTATTATTATTATTATTATTTTTTGAGTTGGAGTCTCATTCTGTCACCCAGACTAGAATGCAGTGGCGGCTCCCAGTCACTGCAGCCTCGACCTGCTGGGCTCCGGCAATCCTTCCGCCTCAGCCTTCCAAGTAGCTGGAACTACAGGCGCGCTCTACCACGCCCGGCTCATTTTTTGATTTATTGTAGAGATGAGGTCTTGCCAAGTTCCCCAGGCGGGTCTCGAACCCGCGGGCTCAGGCAATCCACTCACCTCAGCCTCCCAAAGGCACGGGATTAAAGGCTGAGCCACCGAGCCTGTCTTATAACTGTGTTATTATCCCCAGTCTAGAATGAGGAAGCAGCCCAAAGAGGTAACTGAATTGCCCAAGGTCACACAACTATCAGAGGCAAAGATAGGGCTCATGTCCATCAATAGTACTCATGCTGTTCTGCTTCCCAACAGGTATGACAATCGGTGCCGGAACCTGAGCCAGGAGCAGGTAGCCGAGAAGCTGGCCAAGGACCCCAAGCCTGCTATTCGCTTCCGCCTGAAGGATGAGGCACCAGCCTTCCAGGACCTGGTGTATGGCTGGAATCGGCATGAGGTGGCCAGCGTGGAGGGAGACCCTGTCATCCTGAAGAGTGATGGCTTCCCCACGTACCACCTGGCCTGTGTGGTGGACGACCACCACATGGGCATTAGCCACGTGCTGCGGGGCTCTGAGTGGCTCATCTCCACTGCTAAGCACCTGCTCCTCTACCAGGCCATGGGCTGGCAGCCGCCTCACTTTGCTCACCTGCCCTTGCTCCTCAACAGGGATGGCAGCAAGCTGTCCAAGAGGCAGGGGGACATTTTCCTGGAGCACTTCGCTGCAGCTGGCTTCCTGCCTGATGCCTTGCTCGACATCATCACCAACTGTGGCTCTGGCTTTGCAGGTACCTACCCAACCTGGAGGTCCTGATGGCAGAGTGTGGCTTTGAGGATCAGGGACTTTGGCTCAGACAGACCAGGTCTCCATTCCCAACTCTGCCACCTTCCAGCCACATGATCTTACTCTTTTATTCAACAGACTTCATGCTAAGATTTGGAGCTGCAACAGTGAACAGGGCAAACACAGTCCCTGCCCTCAAGGGGCTTACAATCTCTGAGCCTCAGTTGCCTTATCTATAAAATGGGGATATGTGTCTACCTTGTAGCATTAGAATTCACTAGGCTCATGAATGTAAGACACCCAGCACAGGACCTGCCATACAGTAAGCTCAAAAAATGATAGATCCTGTGACTTATTACATCATTACTATTATTACAAGTATGTACCCTAACAGTATTACTAGTATTACTGTGAGTCTAGTTTATTCCAAGCTAGAGTTCTGTATCCTTGGCCCAAGACTTAGAACCCAAACCTAGAAAAAGCAAGCACCAAATAGGATGAGCTGTTTGTGGCAGAGATTTGTCAAAATGTATCAGTACCAGTCTGGTTACTGCTCTCATTTCATTTAAACCTTAAAATATCCTTGAAGGGTAGATATGTTTATCTCCACTGTTTGTAAGATGATTGTGAGACTCAGAGAGGTTGAGTAACTTGCCACAATCACACAGCTAATAAGGTAGATAGATAGCACTTTAGGCCTGTGCCTGACCATGATGCCTACTGACTGTGCTGACTGTGTGTGATGGGTGTGCCGTTCTCGTAGCTCTTTTTCAAACTATTATTTTCCCTCTCTGAATTTATATATATATATAAATAGCTAATATATATATATATAGCTAAAAGTTGAATCCCATTGGTCACAGTGGAATGGAGGACCCAGGGCCTCCCTTGTGTTTGAAAGTAAAAGGAGGGGCCGGGTGCGGTGGCTCATGCCTATAATCTCAGCACTTTGGGAGGCCGAGTTGAGAGGATTGCCTGAGCCCATGGGTTTGAGACCAGCCTGGGAAACTTGATGAGACCTCATCTCTACAATAAGTCAAATATTAGCTGGGCGTGATGGCGTGCGCCTGTGGTTCCAGTTACTTGGAAGGCTGAGGCTGAAGGATTGCCTGAGCCCAGCATGTTGGGGCTGTGGTGGCCATGAGTGTGCCACTGCACTCCAACCTGGGTGACAGAGTGAGACTCCAACTCAAAAAAAAAAAAAAAAAAAAGAAAGTAAAAAGGAGGAAGGGAGGGAAGAAGCTGAGCATCTGGGCCTGCGCCACTTGCAGAGAACCAGATGGGCAGGACCCTGCCGGAGCTGATACCACAATTCAACTTGACCCGCATCACCTGCCACTCAGCCCTGCTGGATCTGGAGAAGCTCCCAGAATTCAACAGGTGAGTGGGAAGAATGGAGATTCCAGTAGAAAAGGACTACTTGTTCCTGACCCACAGCAGGAAGTATATAGTGGGCTCTGGAGTTACACATACCTGATTTTGACTTTGCCCTCCAGTGTCTAATGCTGTGTGACCACAGACAAGTCACCTAACCTCTTTGAACCTCCATTTCCTCTTCTCTAAAATGGAACTAATAACAGTATGCATCTTATGAGACTATTTTAAGAATTAAATTGAATGTTGCATGAAAGTATCTTACATGGCCCTGGCACATAGAAAGTGCTCAGTAAATAGTAGGTACTGTTTTTCATTAACATTACATTCCTGACCACCTCTTGTATGGATTCAGTTAACAACCAAAGCCTAGAGAGGGGTATCTTTATTTTAGAATCCCTTGCCACCCCCTACCCAGCCAACACAGTGAGTGAGCACTGTCTCATGGCATCTAGTTGATATTTCATGTATTTGATATTTCAAGACGTTTTTCACTTTGAAATCTCCAAATATAGTTACAATTCAGATCTTTGTTGATATGTCTGAGTCAGAGGGTATTAGTGGTAAAGCCATGGCCAGATTTGTACCTCTGGGCAAGAGGCTTGTGGGTACCTTCTTTTGAGCCCTAGTTTGGGGGCAGTCTATCCTCAGTGCATTTACTTGCATGATCCCAGAGAATTTACATCAATTACAGTTGTTTCAGGGATACTCCTTCATTTATTTTTATTTATTTATTTATTTATTTATTTATTTATTTAAAAAAAATTTTTTTTTTTTAGGTGAGAAAGTAGGACTTTTTTTTTTTTTTTGATTTGGAGTCTCACTCTGTCGCTCAGACTGGAGTGCAGTGGCCACTCTCGGCTACCGCAGCCTCGCCTGCTGGGCTCCGGCTATCCTTCTGCCTCAGCCTTCCAAGTAGCTGGAACTATAGGGGTGTGCTACCACGCCCAGCTAATTTTTGATTTATTGTAGAGATGAGGTCTCGCCAAGTTGCCCAAGCGGGTCTCGAACCCGCGGGCTCAGGCAATCCACTCACTTCAGCCTCCCAAAGGCGCGGGATTACAGGCTGAGCCACCGAGCCCGGCTTACTCCTTCATTTATTTCTCCCATCAGACCTGTGAGATTGGTCATATGATTTTGTGCTATTTTACTTATAAGAAGCCCAAGACATAGGTTAAATAACTAACTGAAGTTCAAGGCTGGGAGCTGTGGCTCACACCTGTAATCCCAGCACTTTGGGAGGCTGAGGTGAGAGGATTGCTTGAGCTCAAGAGTTTTAGACCAGCCTAGGCAACATAGCAAGACATTGCTATAAAAAATAAAGTCTGGATGTGGTGGCTCCTGCCTGAAATCCCAGAACTTTGGGAGGCAGAGGCAGGAGGATTACCTGAGCCCAGGGATTCAAGACCAGCCCGGGCAACTTGGTGAGACCTTGTCTTTACAATTAAAAAAAAAAAAAAAAATTAGCCGAGCCCAGTGGTGGCGCTTGTCTGTTATTTCAGCTACTTGGAAAGCTGAGGCAGAAGGATTGCCTGAGTCCATTAATTTGAGACTGTGGTGACCATGAGCTTGTCACTGTACTCCAGCCTGGACAAGAGTGAGACTTCAACTAAAAAAAAAATAAATAAAGTAGTCCCAGCTACTTGGGAGGCTGAGGTGCAATAATCTCCTGAGCTCAGCAGGTCAAGGCTTCAGTGAGCTATCATCGTGCTACTGTACTCCAGCCTAGGCAACAGAGTGAGACCTCAATTCAACACAGCCACTGCAGCCTCGATGTGCTGGACTCAGGTGATCCTTCCACCTCAGCCTTCCAAGTATCTGAGACCACAGGCATGTGCCACCATGCCCTGCTAATTTTTTGATTTATTGTAAAGATGAGGTCTCACCAAGTTGCCCAGGCTGGTTTCAAACCCGTGGCCTCAAGCAGTCCTCTCACCTCAGCCTCCCAAAATGCTGGAATTATAGGCATGAGCCACTGAGCCCAGTCGGCATCTTTTCAATGGGGCATTTAAGAGTGAATACAACATACTCATTAAATGCGTCTTGTACTTTTATCTTCCTTATTTATAGAGAAAGTGATATCTCAGGGGGAAGTAGAGTCAGTGCAGGGGAGATACTTTGTGATCCATTCTAGTTATCCCTGAAACACAAGCAGTAGCCACCAGGAAGATGGGGTGAGGGGGCTTTTGCTAGATGTGAATCAGGGAGGGATGGAGCATTAGGATTGGTGTCCACAGATTTAATGCAGACAAAACTCGTATCTTTGGACGTTTTCATAATCAAGCCACTGCTATGATCTTTTTCATTAACAGTAAAGCTAGTAGTTGTAGCAGTAGTAATACTAGTGGTGTTGTAGTAATTACATTTATTCACCACTACTATGTCCCTGCAAGCATGGCCAGGAGGGTCTCTTGATTTTTTTCCTTTCTACTGTCTTGTCTGGCTACTAAGGAGGTTCTAGAAACACTTTTTTGTTTTTGAGTTGAAGTCTCACTCTGTTGCCCAGGCTGGAGTGCCATGGCATGATTACGATGATCACAACTCACAGCAGCCTCAACCTCCTGGGCTTAGGCAGTCTTTCCACTTCAGCATCCCAAGTAGCTGGGACTACAGGTGTATGTCACCATACCTAGCTAATTTTTTTATTTTTGTTTGGTAAGACGAGGTTTTGCTGTGTTGCCCAGACTGGTCTCAATTCCTGGGCTCAAGCAATCCTTTTGCCTTGGTCTCCCAAAGTGCTGGGAAGGAACACATTTGAACTGACAAGAAAACCCAAACTTTTAAACTGTAAGCACTTAATTCATACACCTGCACCCTCTGCTCTGAACCCTAGAAATTGTATCCTTGACCTCTCCTTTTGTGGAAAAGCCTCATGATTGAAGCTTGCCTGGGTGACAGACACTCCCAGATTCTGTTTTGTAAAGCCAGGTATCTGTAGAGGCCAGGCAGGCAGCATAAGGGTGGTGGCAGGCCAGGTGGAAGACATCGGGGAGCAGAGGGAATGACAGACTTGACAGACTTCAGTGAGCACCGCTGTCACTCTGAAATGGGCAGCCTCTACTCTGCTCCAGTCTATTAAAGCTGTGGACAGCAAGGGCCCATTGCAGCCAGATCTTCTGACAGCCGGAGAGAAGACAGAACTCTGTTTTTATATGATCTCTTCTAGTTTAAGATGTCAGCTACTATTTTAAAGACCCGGGAAACAAAGCATGTTAGCAGGTTGCTTGGGACTTTCAGACTGTTGTGGCCTTGGTCAGATCCCTTTCCTTTCACAAATGTAAAGAGAATGCTAAGGCTGGGCAGGAGGATTGCTAGAGCCCAGGAGCTCGAGAGCAGCATGGGCAACATAGCGAGACCTTTTCTCTACAAAAAATAGAGAATTTTACTTCTATCTTGTGGGAGGCAGGACTTATGTGATGTGACTTGCCATTCTTCAAACTCTACCCACTTCCCTGGGGAGAGAGGATTTGGGTGGGCTGGGGGTGCCCATGGCAGGGCGGCCCCTTGACTTCTTCCACAGGCTGCACCTCCAGCGACTGGTGAGCAGTGAGACCCAGAGGCGCCAGCTGGTGAGGAAGCTGCAGACCCTGATTGAGGAGGCCTTCGGCAGCCAGCTGCAAGACAAGGATGTCCTCGACCCAGCCTATATGGAGAGGATCCTCCTGCTGAGACAGGTGCAGGGCTGGGGGTCTGGGAGACCAAGGGAGTGGTGGGCACCCTGTTCCTCCTCCCTGGCAGAGCCTTGCCCCCAGTGCATGACTGCCTCCTTCCCCAGGGTCACATTTGCCGCCTGCAGGACTTGGTCTCCCCAGGGTACTCCTACCTGTGGACACGCCCGGCCGTGGGGCGAGTGCAGCTGAGTGCCATCTCAGAGAAAGTAGATGTGATTGCCAAGCGCGTGCTGGGGTGAGTACCCACAGGCTGAGCTCAGGGCTCCGCAGGCTCCTTCCCTTGTGCCATCCCATGGTCTCTCTGCCTCCAGGGCTTGGCTGTTGAGCCCCAGCACAATCCCATGGCTAGTGAAGAAATGACCATTCAAGCCTTTCTCCAGTAAGGAGGGCTTTCTCAGAGGACCCAGGCTCCCCTGGACACAGGTAGTATGTCCAGTGCTTGCACCAACCTGGGGTGTATCCCAGCTCTGCTACTCATTCACCAAGTTATGTTACCTTGCCCAGGTGGCTTTGCTTTGGCCAAGTGATAACACCTTTTTGAGCTTCCATATCCTCATGTATAAGGAAAAGATGATACTAGTTCTTCCTGTAACGGTAACAACTTTTTTTTGAGTTGGAGTCTCACTCTGTCATCCAGGTTGGGGTACAGTGGCACAATCATGGCTGCTGCATCCTCAGCATGATGGGCTCAGGTGATCCTTCTGTCTCAGCCTTCCAAGTAGCTGGGACTACAGGTATGTGCCACCATGCCAGGCTATATTTTTTAATTTATCATAGAGACGAGGTCTTGCCTTGTTGCCCAGGCTGGCCTTAAACTCCTGGGCTCAGACACTCCTCTCACCCCAGTCTCCCAAAGTGCTGGGATTATAGGCATGAGCCACCGCACCCATTCAACAGTAATAACTCTTTCCATTACAAGGGCAGAAAACACAGCTAAACCTGCTTAAGCAAGAGGGGAGTGACTGTTTATGTCTCGCAGAGGCTAGAGGAAGGGCCACCTTGAGGCCCAGCTTAATGCAGGAGCCAGCATTTTGTTACCAAGACTTATTTTTGTCTCTCTGTGCCTTTGACTTTCTGTTTTCCAGTCCTCTTTCTGCAGATGCTCTGTATTCCATAGAGAGAGGGTGGGGTGCTTTACCAGACAGAAGAAATGGTGGTGTCCCTCCCATGTTTCCACATTTCTCCATTACAGAGCAATCTGCAGGAGGCAGCCTGCAGCTGACCAGCTTTTCTTCACGTTTCAAAGGTTCCATGTCCCTAGGTTGTGCTCTTGTCAGTGAGGACCATGTGACTCATGGACTGTCCACGATTCAGCCAGAGGGAGAAAGAGGAGAAAGGGTAGAGGACAGTTCACTCCTTCCCCTTAAGGACCTTTCTAAAAAACTGCACATGTCATTCTATTCATGTTCTGCTGGCTAAAGCCATGTCTTCTGGCCACATCAAGCTGCAAGTTAGGCTGGAAAATCTAGGTTTTTTTTTAACATGGCGGCCATGTGCCTAGTAAAAAAAATTTTATGACTGCATACGAAAGGGAGAAAGGACACTGGGGGATCATTAGCAGCCTCTCCTGCAGTCTCCTGTTGTGGTTGTCAGACAGCCATGGCCACTCAGTGCCACAAAACCTGAGCTTCAGGCTCCAGTGGTATCCTGGGATTTATCCAGTGGTTTGGTATTAACTCTGGCTGGGCCTGATTGGCCTATTCACTTGTCCCTGAACCAGTCATCAAGGCCCAGGGAATATGATGTGCTGATTGGCTTAGGCCTAGGTCGTATGCTGGATCCTGAATGAACTTGAGAATGGCAGTTGAGTAATTTCCCAGGGAGATTTGAGGCACCTAGTATCAGAAGAAAGGGTTAGGTGCTGGGCTACAAAACCTGCAGATACTCATTTTACTCACCTCCCAGGTTTGTTGTGAAGAGTAAATTAGAAAATAATAGCAAACACTAATTTATGTGTTTGCTTACAATATCCTATTTGGTATATCATATACATCTTATGTGTATATATGTATGTATGCACCTGTATATCTATGTATATGAATTTACAGCAACCTAATAAGTATTGTTGTTATCCCCATTTTATAAATAAGAATGTTGAAGCACAGAGAGGTTAAGTACTTGTCCAGAATAATATGAAAAATAAGTTGGAGAAGCAGGGATTCAATCCCAGGTAGAGTGGGTCTAGAGACATATGTCTAACTGTATTCTCTTGCTTTTCTTATTTGTAAAGTGCCTGGATAGTACCTATACCAAGAAACCTTCAATATGTTATTACAATATATATTTTGAAGAGATAAGAATATATGCATGGAGTAAAAAAATCCAAATGGTACACAGGGTTTATTAAAAAAAAAAAGTTGGCTGGGCTCGGTGACTCCGCCTGTAATCCCGTGCCTTGGGAGCCCGAGGTGAGTGAATTGCCTGAGACCATGGGTTCGAGACCCACCTGGGCAACTTGGCGAGACCTCATTTCTACAATAAATCAAA